TTCAATAATTTAAATTTAGAACGTACTGATAACTTGTTTATTCTTTGTATAATTTTCCCTCTGTTATGTTACATTTTAATTGCACTGAAATTGAAGTCAGAAACCTCTTTTATTTTTGAATGTTAATAAAAAGCCTAATTAAATCGACTCAAAAAATGGTGGTTTATTAAAAATTTTGTATTTTAACCACAATATGAATTGTGAAATAAAAAAAAAAAAAATATTCAGCAATTATAATTAAAAGCGTATGTATAAAACATTTTTAAATGAAAGAGGAATATAAAAAGAATTGTTATATATTGTGGAAAACCTTTATATACTAATTAGAGAAAATAATTCTCCAACAAAAGACTCATTATATTAAAGTTTTTTTTTTCATTTTCCCCCCTTCTATTTATGCATTCTATCATATTAAATGAGGTAATTTTTTTATTTATTTGATCTATGTATATAATTTTAGAGATAAAATGTTTTCAATTAAATTATCATATTTACTAATATTTCTTGTTTTTCTTACAAAAGAAAAAAATGCTATCATCTCAACAACGTGATCAACAAATTATGATGGAAAAACAAATAATATTAAATTGAGAGTAAGAATAAGGAAGAATATTAAAAAAACAGCAATATTTGAATAGGAAAATTTTATTATTGTCACTCAGAGAAACAAGAAAAGCGAGAAATATATCAAACGCGATGTGGTGAAAATGAGAAGATTTTATCTCCTGACAACGTAAACTATGTGGCTTGTTGTGAAAAATGATTGTTAGTTTTTTTTAATAATTTTTTTTACTTTTGCTTGAAAATAAAACAAAAAGATCGCGCTTTATTCTTTCTATTCATTTTGAAGAAGAAAAAATTAAAGACAAATTGCTTTTAAAAGAAAGTAAAAAAAAAACCGTTATACACATTAAGAAAAATAATAATAATTGTAAAAAATTGTTATACTTTTTTACAAAGTAACGAAATGTAAAATATAAAATAAAAAATATAAAATATAAACGCACAGTATAAGTGTTGCGTGAGATTGATTCTGTCTGACCAAAACGTTGTTTCTCTACTGAAAATGTCAAGGCAATGAAACATGTTAAAGTGCTTTGACCTGTGTTTGTGATTAAAAATTGTTTTAAAACATTTTTTTCAAATTTTTCTCAATTTCCATTCTTTTTGTTTTTGAAATGAAATTTCATTTTTTTTTTATTAATTCTTTTTAGTAAAAATTTTTATGAATATTATACACATGATGAAAACAAAACCACAACAGAATGATTGGCAATATAATCTTCTATCAATTGATTAAAATCAAACCGACAATTTCATCCCAATTTGCAAAAAAAAAAAAAAAAGAAATTAATATTTTCTCTATCCTTTCTTTCAATTAAATTTTTATATTTTTAAGTAAAAAAAAAAATTATTGTCTTAATTGCTTGATTGGCGGTATCAGTATATAAATTTGATGCAAAACTAAAATTTAATTTATGATCAGGCAAAAAAATGTAATTTAATGATGTATAAAATAATCTATAATTTTAATCTCCGGAATTCAGGGTGCAGGTAGTTTTATATAATACCTTTTGGACAGTTTCAAGTGAAAATCGATTAGATGCTTTAGTGGAAAGTCCGGAACAGAGACTCCTGTTATTATGTTGAGCCACTAACGTTGCCCAACAGATCGTTTCGAACTAACACATTGATTTAGTCGTCAGACAAAAATTTATTATCAGAACAAATTGCTCCCCACACACAACTTTTCTTATGCTACGTCAGCAAATTCAAACTCACTTCTCTAACCCGGAATGCAATCAGTTTTAAAACTTTTAACTTTTCTATGCACTCATGATTCATTGTAGGCAGAATATAGATAATTTCAACTGATGAAAAAAAATTCCTGTTTTTAAATTAAAAAGTTTTTTCTATATTGAAATTCTTTTTTTTTTATTTCATGAAAAAAAATGTGAATACACAATATTGTTTTTTAAAAACATTATTTATATTTTATAAAGTTAATTAAACAGTCATTCGCACAAAAAAGTAAATACAAATTTTCTTTTGAAAATATTTATATTTTATAAAATTAATTAAACAGTCATTCGCACAAAAAAGTAAATCAATAATATTTTTTTATGTTTTATTAAACTAAATTAAACAAAATATTGGTTTTCTTAATGGAAAACAAAATTGAAAAATTGTTTAATTACTTTCAGAAATTAAAATTGACTTATGACGTCGTAAACAATCTTTAACCTGGTCATTTTAACTCTTGAGTGCCAAGAATGCCATATGGCGCCAGGAGAAGAAAAAAAAAAGTGGACTGAAAATGCTAGAGACGCCATATGGGCTTTGTGGTGAGAAAATGCGCATTTTTACACTACATGGAATTTCAAATTTGTGTTTTTTTATGTCAATGAATTTTAATGAATCAACAATCAAACATTCATAAGAACAAGAAAGTGATCAAGAATTTAAAATAAAATTTTTTATTTTAGATAAAAATAGACAAACAATTAGTTTATTATATTATTTATTTATCATTAATTAACTCTAAAGAATTGAATGTAAATTTTTTTTAAACTAAAGATAAGTCAGCAATAGTTTATGTTTAGAAAGTAAAGACATTCAGTGAGAAACGCCATCTGGAATCTTGCTTCAGTATCTGGTCACCACTTATTTCTTCAGGTGGTAACTCTTAGAAGAAATTTAAAATTATAATTTATAAATTAAAAAAAATTTTCTAATTATAGTTCTTCAAAATACGATTAAATTTCAAATTAGTTTTTAAAAAGTAAACAAAGCAAATTTATTAAAATATAATTTCGATGAAATTTGACAAAATTTTCAATTGTTTCAATTTTTTTAAAAATTATTTTCGGAAATACAATTCTTTGTATGTCCGCTATGTTTCTTAAATAAATGAATAGATAAATAAATATTTAAAAAAAAGATTTCAATTACATTTTTTCAAGAAACAATTTTTTGGAATTTCTGAATTAAATTATTCAAAAACTTTAATAATTATTTAGTTAAACAAAAATTTTAAAACTTATTCTTATTAATTTTTCACAGGAATTCAAATTTCAAATAATTTCAATGAAAAACCTCATGAAATTTAATTATTTCTATAAAAGTTTCAACTGTAATTCTTTCAAAATTCAATTATTTTTTTTTTTTTGAGAATTTTTGAATAAAATTATTGAAAAACTTTGAAGAATTTTTAAAGAAAAATAATGTAGTTAAATAACTTTTTTTTACAAAATTTAAATATTTTTTAACTTTTGCTTCCCTTAAATTTTCAATGAATTTAATTTAAAAACCTCTTAAAATTTAATTAATTCCAAAAATTCTTGTTATGATATTTTAAATATTCAATTATTTTTCAAAAATTTTAACCAACATTTCTTTTAAATCAATTTCTATCGAAAATCAACGACGAGAATTGAATTATTTAATTTAAATAAAATATTTTTGGTAAATTAATAAAATAATATGTATTTTCAAAAATACAATAATATTTATAGAAAATTTTTAAAAATAAAAAATCAAATTCATTAAAATATAGAAATTTACAATTGCTTCAATTTTTTAAAATTATTTTCCGGAATTCAGGTATATCTTAAAAAAAATTTAATTACTTTTTTTTTAAAACTATAAATTTTTCAGAATTTTCAAATTAAATCATTCAATTTTCAATCATTTTTGTAAAATTAATATTTTATTTAATTATTTTATTTTTGAATTTTTTGAATTATATTTATTCAAAACTTTTAATTTTTAAGTAAGCTGACAAATTAATAATTTTTAATATTTAAATATTATGCTACTTGTACAGCAATTTGAATTTCAAAGATTGAAATTTAATTATTTCTAAAGAATCCTACTTTAACACTTTTAATTATTTTCTAAAGTTTTAACTAAAATTCTTTTTTTAAATCAATTCATTCAATTATTTAAATAGAACAATAAATAATTCAGAGAATAATTAATTGTTTTAAAAAATTGCAACTTTATGAAGATTTTGAAATTGAGGTTAAATTTTCTTACTCCACTTACTTTATTATAATTGCAAATTAACTGTCAAACTCAAGACATAACAATTCGAACTATAAAACAAAAAAGATTGGAATAAAACAACACTAAATTCACGTGAGGACAGATTATGTCGATTTATTAGAATATAATTTTTAAAAATTGTCTTTAAAAAATACAAAATCTTTAAAAACAGAAATTTTTAATCATTAAAATGTAAAATTTTATATGATACAAAAAAAAGTTTGCATTTAGAACTTAAAAAATGTATAAAGAAATTTTTACCCTTTTATAAAAAAAAATGGTAGAGCGTCATTGAAAAATACGAAAACTAAATGTCAGTGGAGAAAAAGTGGAAGAACTTTTAAAATTCGTAAACGCTTTGATGACGTTAAACACTAATATTGACTTAAAACTTGTGACTAAAAAGAAAACTTAAAAAGGCGAATTTTCACAAAAGCGGGAAATGTTCATTGAAGAGAGCGGTTTTTTGTAATTCTTTATTTACTATGGTATATTTAAAAGTTAATTAATTAATTAAATGTACTTTAAAAGCTTTTCCACTGCACTTTTTTGTCTGAATGGAATTTTTTTTTTATCATAAGAAACTATTTTCAATAAAACCGCATTTTGAGAAATTAAAGGGGTTCATAAAATAATGGGGACAAAGGCATGGTTAAAAATTTCGCAAAAAAGTGAGTCAGAAGTCACTGGACGATCAAAATTATCAATTGAGAGTCCTTGGATTGAATAGAAAACGATTAATATTTTTCGGATAATTTTCTCCGAGAAAATAATAGATCTTTTCAGGAAATATTACTCGAATATTAATTTTCTTTTCTGTCTTCCTTTTTCACGTGAATTTAAATTTCACGAATGTAATTCATTGAAAACATTTCCATTGGAATTATTTTCAAAAAAAAAAAAAAAAAAAAAAATGTAATTCTATTTTAATGAGATGAATTATTTTTATATACCTTGTTCCCCGGCACTGACGAGTGTCACGCGGCTCGCCAGCTGGAGGAGGAAGGCAAAGGTGAGAGCCGTAAATCCCAGATAGTGCCTCATCTCCGAAACGAGGAAGATGGAGGGTCTACGTGCTTCCTAAACGTATCGTCATCCCCATCTGACAAATGTCCATTGAGTTGATTTCCGCCGCAGTGGAATTAAAATTAATGTTAAAAGGACGTTCATAAAATTTCTCCAAAAAGAAGAAAATTTAAAATTTCAACCAATCCATTTGCGATAAGTATTATTTGCACGTAGAATATATATTTTTTGCACACCAAAAAAAATCATCCAATGACACTAAATGAGAGCAGTTTGATTTTAAATTAGGACGCACGAACGCGAACAAGTCTGAATTCTCGCTGAGATTACCAACTAGAGAATTCGTCGTGTCTAGGGAAGTGCACATCACGTATTCGGAACGCGATACGGAAATCGTATACTATACTCTCGTACCCACTTCCTCCTCAGGCGATTCACTCCACACACCCTTCAGAATATTAATACAGTTCTCTCATTTCAAATTATTCTTATCACTTCTCACACTTTTCACTTCCAATTCGCACTTATTTACTTTTTAACTTTTCTTTTCTTCCAACTTTTCCCAAACAGCAATCACTCAAGGAATTAATTAATTCCCTCAAGTTTCTTCCACAATTACAAAAAAGAAAAATACTCTTTGGTTTTTGAATATCAATCAGATTCGAAAAAAACCATCTGAATTTTAAAAATTCCAATATATTTCCCAACGCGATGGGTTGTAAATTTAACTTGACACTTTTTTCCAATTTGCAAATATTGTTCTGCAAAAAATTCCACCGGTAAATTCTATTTTTAAAAAGGAATAAAGAAAAAAAAATTGTGAGAAAAAGGAACTTAGTTATTAAATTGAAAAATAGAATCGGGCTTATTATATACGAGTAGCACAAGCGCGCAATAGATATACGAAAACCGAAATAGGAAACCGAGCTTTCCAAGCGGAGAGTTCGCGCCGGTATGAAACAACTTTGTGTGCCGAATTTATCCGAGAGTCCGGGATGTAATGTGTTCGGACCAGTACGAGAGAAGCCGAACGTTTGCGCGCCTCAAATGCGAGAACCAACTCTCGCCCTTCCCTCCACTTTCCAATTGTCTTCCAGCTTGTCGTTCTAGAGCACAAATTCAACAGGGATGTATGTGCGCGCGCGGGATTTCACCCCAGCATCCAAATATATATATATATAGTATACTGCCAGTGATGAGAAACAAGGAGAAATCCCGTAGATCGGTTATCATCTCATCATCAAGTACCTTGTCTTTGCGCATTCCCACGAAGGAAGCGTTTCCTAATCTCAAATACGTTCAATTATAATGGTAATTATAAATTCAAAGATAATTGATTACTTCCCCAAGATTTCTTAAATAAATTAATCACCATGCAATTTAATTCTTAGTCTGAAAATTAGTTACCCAAAGAGATACAGATCTAATAATATTAACGTAAATTCATTACCCTTAAGAAATGAAAGCTATAAATAATTATATTTAGGCAAACAATATTCAATTGAAATACTAATTTATGTAAATTTTAACAGACTTCGAAAGATTCATAACGAAGTCTGTCCCAATCTGTGCCCAATCATCATCTTGAAAATTTTGATGTGATAAGAGATCTCGATCCAGGTTGAGTTTCCAGTGGATACAATCTAAAGAATTTGGTATTAAATATTTCAAATAAATAAATAAATTAACACAGTGAACAAGCAGAATAAAATAAAAAAAAAACCGAGCAGAACAAACAACAACCAATTTCATGTAAATATGCTAATAATCCTGTTAAACATTGCAATGAGTTGCTACTGATTGACGAATATCAAAACAGAATTAATTATACAACAGAATTTTAATTTCAACAAAAGTTCTTTCACTTTTGTAGAACAACAATTTTTTTAGCAGAATCGTAGATCAATTATAATGATAATTATATTATCAGATAAATGAAGAATTTTAAATCTACCTTTCAATTTTCACACATATATTGTCATTAGATTACCTTTCCAGGAAGGTCACATTAGGTCAAGGTGGGCAGTTACTATTCAACTTCATTTACTCCAACATCCGGAGTTCCCCAAGGTTCATTACTCTCCATTTACTTTATCAATGACATGAGTTATTATTACTTCAAAAATTCTTATTTTTGCTGACGATGTTAATAAAATATATAGAATAAAACCAACCATGACGTATCTCTTCTTCAATCTGACTTAAATACATTTATTTTCGAACGGTTTGTAACTAATCAACTTCCTCTTAATATTTCAAAATGTCATTCTTTATCTTTTACAAGATCAAATACCCCCTTTAGCTCAATATCTAATTAACGACATTTCTATAGAACGGCCTCTAACCGCGACCAAGTTAACAAGTTGTGTATTGTCGTCGAGTTTATTCTAAGACTTCAGTTCCAAAAATCTCTTCAAGTACCAAGTGCATTCTTCAAGACTCAATGAAGTTCATTCAAGAAGATAATTTCTACTGCGAGACACATTTCTATTTTTCTGAGGACTGCATTATTTTGACTTTAACGTCAAATCAATAATTCGACACCTGGACTCCGGACCTTTCACTTTGGCTGGCCCGAAAACAATTCGAGGGAAATCTACTGCATATTCTGTAAGTTACTAATACTCTTAAATTTTGTCCCCATTTAAATTCTCGATTGATCCTACAAGGTTCTAATTTTGTTTCAGTATCCCTGAAGACATCTGGATCTACTCTTTCTCTTTCATTCTAATTTTTTAAGGATTCAAATAAAAACTTTAATAATATAACTTTAATTTAATAGTTACTCTTTCTTAAAGCCGATCAAGAAAGAATTTTGACAATATAATAGGTAGAATATTTCTTCTGAAATAGAATTGTTTCATTTAAGATTTTGTTGATTACAATAAAAAATGCTACTTCGTATGAAGATTTACGAACAGTTAATGGAGTAGTTTATACTACTTTTACTTCTGTGTGTTTAGCATTAGGTCTTATAAAAGATGATCATGAGTAATCCAATTCTTATAATGAATTGTGGGAACGATTTAAGGGAATCATGTCGGAAGACTATCGAGGAATTGACAATATTGAAGCAGAAGATAGAGTTTGTAGAGATATTTAAACATTATTATACCAAGAAGGATATCGATTAACAGATTTTCAAGTCATAATGAGGTAAGATTAATAAGTCAATTAAAACAACAGTCTTATCGTTGAGAAATCAAAGACTCAGAAAAAAAACCTTTGTTATGCATGATTTTTAAAATTAAAAAAATAAAAAACCGTATGACACTCTAAAGGTCGAAAAAATAGGTATTTTTTGAAAATTTTTTTTAAGCAAACTACGAAGGCAATCACAATTATGATCCGAGGACTTTATTGTACATTTATTAACGTGTAAAAAATATAAATATTATAAAATTTTATTGAAATTTGTGGCGCTGACGCTGATTTTTTTAATCTGGTTTTTGGCGTAAAGGGTCCGCGGCCACACCATCCGTTCCTGTAAATTTTGAAATATCATAATTATCAAAATTGTTTCTTATTCCTTATTACAGTAGCTAAAGGAAAGCGTAAGATTTTTTTTGATATATTGATTTTTGGCCGATTGGCGTACTTCTAAAGTTTAGTTATAAAAATTTACCAAAAAATTGCTCAGTAAATTGTTAATAACAAATGATCTAGGCAATAAAAAAAAATCCTACGCTTTCCTTCAGACAATATATTATTAAAGATGTGTGCAAAATTTGAACTTAATCGGTTGAAAATTGTAAAAATTATTGGTGCGGCCAGTTCGAAACATGTAGTTTTGAGGTAATCGCGTTTATAGTTTTAAATTGTAAAAAAGCATACGTAATTTTTAAATACCTTTAATCTGCAATGCCTGCACCATATAATTGTCCTTCCTGATTAAGGTCCTTATCTTACTTGAATACACTCTAGTCACTAACAACTTTGAAAACATCTGCTGTATACCTGCGTAGTCCCTTCAAGTACCCTTCAAGCGCGCTATAAAGCCCTGCACGAAACATTGAAAATAAGCTATTTAGGAATTTCTTACGTCCATAATCTTTCAATATGTTACATTTGAGACTCCAAGGGACCATTTAAAGCAAAAAAGAAAAAATCGATTTTTTAAAAATCCTAGAGTGTCATAACCCCTTAAGAGTCTAAAAAGTAAGTTCTATTATTATAATAGAAATAATTTTTGTGCATATGCAAATTAAAAATTTCAAAACTATATTTACAACTTCGTTCCATTGGATCATTCCATTCGTTGATGAATACAGAACAACAAGATTATGTAGTACGTGCCAACAAACCCATGACAATCTGTAGAAATCGAACTCTCCACTGTGCTAATTGTAAAATCTCTTGGAACACTGTCGTAAATGCCGGGAGAATTATTCTCCATTTATAGCATTAAAATAGTATAATTTTTTCAGTGCGGGAGAAAGACACGTACTCTTAAAAGTACATATTACTATTAATAATTTTTTTCATAAAATTCTGAAACAATTTGTAATAAAAATGAAATAGATGAACTACTATTTTTCATAGACTCTCGAGTACGCAAGACAAAACTTATTTTCAGGCTCTCGAGTGAAAAAGGGAATCTTTTTTTTTATTTTTTTCCGATAAATAAGTATCACGCAATCGAGAAATTTAGAGCGGAATAAAAACTAATGTACATTTTGTAAAATAATAATGATGCATTTTCTGTTCAAAATTGTTACGTTAGGAGTGGAGGGATATTATGCAAATCATTAAAATAGACTTTTGTAACACAAAAATTGAAAAGGTTGGGATTTCTCTTTATTTTAAGAAGTGAAAATATAGTATCGCAGGAAAAGAACGAATCTTGAAGCATTTCACATTTTCTGTACTACGTATCATGATACAACCGTTATCTTTAAAGAAAGCGATTTTGCACGAAACAAATCTAACTGGAATTGGATTTTTCTACGGTTTAAAATCATCGATAAGTTTGTATTTTAAAAAAAATATTTGATATATCCTCACTTTTTCCAATTTATATATATATATATATATATATATATATAAATTGTGCGTAACATTTTACAAAAAAAAAATTTTTCCTTATAATTTCTTACTTATTGTAAAAAAGAATTCTGTTTAAATTGGAAAGTATTGTGTACTTGAGGTTTGTCACAATGACAAACAGAGAACCCCCTCCGCTAACTATTTAGTAGAATAGACGTCGATCTGTCGAAGTGAATATAGTCATCGTATCTTGCGCCTTGTCATTGTTCACGAAATCTATGGTCGGTTGGCTGTGTCTTTGTACCGAGGATAACCGGAGACCTAACCAACCAACAATACTCTCCTTTGTGCTCACGTGGTCAATTAGTTCATACATTGCACACGCGTTACATTTACCAGGGGACAAACATTGAAAGATTCAAATCCACGCCTCGTTCGTTAAATTTATTTTTTTTCCTCTATTCAGTATTCTTTATTTAGCTGTACAAAGTGAAATGAAATTCAATTTCAATTTTCATATAAATATCAGATACTTTTGTTAAAAATATATTCAATTTTTGATTGAATTTGAAAATGAAATATTGTAAAAAGTATGTTGATAATGAATAACTGCTGGAATTTACTGAGGGATGGATATAATTAAAAGAAGGAAAAGATGATAAGTCACTGTGGAGGGGTTTTATCAAGTCATCATTACGAATGATTACAAATGAGGGTTTTTGTAAGAAAAAAAATTAGGCATTCTGTCGTGATTGACGTCAATGTGAGAGCACAGAAAAAATTGAGCAAAAATATTAAGGGGTTACATCCAGTTAGACAGTTGAAAAAAGTCGATATTTTAGGAATTTTTTCTGAGAAAACTATTGAGTATTTCACATTAAAAATTAAGGCACATATAAAGGGTTGATTCCTGTAACTTTTCCACTCCCACTTACACTTTCACTTTCCACTCTCACTTTCCACTGTCACTTCCCATTTTCCATGCTCACTTCCTACTTTCCACATTCACTTCCCACTTCCCACTCCTAATTTTCACTGACACTTCCTACTTTAAACTTTCACTCCCCACCCTCACTTTTTACTTTCCACTTA